CGTCCGCTGCAGCGGAGCCCGCGGCGGCTGCGACACCGGGCCGCCCATGTAGAGGTACGGGGAGCCGTAGCCGTTCATGCCCGCGGGAGGAGCCCGATCGGCTCCGGGGCGGAGAAGGGAGCCGCAGGGGCGGGCGGACGCCTGGACGGCGAAGGAGAGGAGGCGGACGGCTTTGCCCGCGGGCTCCGAGGGGGGCGCCGCCGTAGCCTTGGTCCGGCGGGGTTATCCGCCGCGGTGGCACCTGCGGGCGGAGTGCTGACGCCGGCCGGCGCGACACTGCCTCTTCCCGCACCGCCCTGCTGAGCCCAGCGCCCCTCCGCCCGCCCCCGTCCCCCGCCCGCCCCCCTTCACCACCCGCCGCCACCCTCCTTCCCCGCCGCCGCCGGGGGGATGAGGGAGAGGGAGGAGTGAGGTGTCTGTCCAGCCGTCGGGGGCGGCGGCGCTGCGTGCGCCGTGCCGAGGGGTCGGCACTGATGCCACCCACCCCTCCCACCCCCCCTGCGAAAGAAGCGCCCGGGGCTGGAAGCGAATGGGTCTGCGAGGTTTACACAGGCTCCGACCCTCCGCGCTCTGCCGGGATCTCAAAGCCCAAGACGGGGGGCGTCTGGACCTCGAGCGGGCGTCCCTCGAAAGCCCACGGGAGGCCACGAGCGGCGGCCGGTGTGTGGTTGCTGCCGTGAACCCGTCCGTGTCTCAGCGCTGCGGGAGCTTTAGAGCCCAAAGTGTCATCAAAGTTTTGAGAAGCGGCCCAGGAGCAGGAGCTGCGCGGATAGTGACCCGCGAAGCCGCTGCCACCCCGGCGGCCCTCGCCACGGCCGCTGCCTAAATGCAAGCTGTGGCGATGGAAAGGCACATGCAGCTCAGGGCAAGCTAGACTGCTGGCAACCTATCCGATGTGTGTGATGCAGCGGGTGGTAATTTTCTGTGTCTCCGGACGCGGGAAGGCTTCTCCCTGAAACACGGCAGCGAGAAGTTTAAATCCAAATTCGGTAGTTTACCAATCCGTTTTCCGGTAATATACTACCGAAAAAACGGTATAGGAATACCGGATGGCGAATACGGGGGGACAAATTGCCTGCAAGCGTTTGTCTGCCCGCGCAGCAGTGTTGAGCGGCGCGTCTGGGCTGCTTCTCGGACTTGAACCCGTTTCGCTGCCCCAAGATCGCCCCTGCTTTTCTCTGGCATCTCTCCACTGTAACCGCTACACGAAATAAACCGTTTAACGAGGGTACTTAATTAGAAAATCAGATTTAAAAATGGGGAAGCATTTCGCTGGAGAGAAGCCCAGCGTGAAGGTATTTGCTTTATAATTCATCACTTGGCTCTTTGCTAATTACTTTTCTGCTTCTAGGGAGAAAGCGACTCGGGGAGATCTTTCCCCCCACGACTGTGTGCGGGATGAGAGGGAGGATGAGCGCCCATCGGCTAAGCGCACCGAGGCGGGAGGCGGATCGTTCATGTGCTGGGAACGGCCCGTTTTCCCGCAGCGCCAGTGGGACCTCCTGATCCTCCCTGCCGGGGAGCGTGCACTGTACACGTAGAGTCCCGCATCCCGCTGCACCGCGGGGCATCGGACACACGCGTGGTCCCTGTCAGGGACAGAAAAACCCGACGCGGAGCAAATACCCAACCACTACAAAACGGCAATGGGCGCGTGAAGGACGATGCGCCGCCGCCCTTGCGAATCCTTTCGCGCAAAACGAAGAAGGGGGATACTAGTGCAGGTGAAAGCGAGGGGAGCCCTTGACCCTCGCCAGCAGGATCGGGGCCCGCGGGGTGCCTCCGCCACCGCGACAGGGTGGGCGGGCAGCTGCTGCTCCCGAGTCGGGATGCCCCGGCGCGGCGGCGGGCTGGGTTAGGGCCGGGGGCCCCCTCTCGCTTGGCTGCACACCGCGGGTTTAGGCTGAAATACTTGTTTGATATAGTGCCGTAATCCTTTTCTCATATTTGATGGGGTTTCCGTGTCCTAGTATTTGACAACATCTCCCTATAGGGCCAGGTTCGTATTTATGTTCGCAAAACGTCCCCTGCCTGAAAGTCTATTGAAACCTAATACCTGACAGACCAGGTTCCCATTTCTGCGCGCAGAAAAGGTTTATTCAAGCACATAATAGGATCCCGGCAGAAAGCTTTTCAGAAGAAGAGGCTATGGTAAACTGCACCACATGAACTCCGTTTCCAGGGCTATTAAGCTTTTAATTGGAAAATAGCAGAGGAAATTTCAAGGTGACTATAACGTGTTAGCAGTTAGCCCTAGAAGAATAGGCTGAAAGAGAATGAATGTGCGGAACATATGCTGCAAATAACATTTAGTGGAAAGGGCCTGGCTCCGAAGAGCCGGACTTTCCAAGGAAGAAGCACCGACTGAAGGGGAAGGGGAGGTGGCATCGGGCTGGAAGGTCAGAATCGGCCCGAATCCGCTAGCGTTTCGCGGCCTGTCGGTGTGGAGACGGCTGGGGTAGACGGCGCTGCCGCCTGTCTGCCGGCACCCGCGGGGACCAGCGCGTTTACACTAGTGGCGTTCGTACTGCTCTGGAAGACGCGTCTGGAGAGGGATGTTCGCGGGAAGACGGGTCACGGGCGGGCGAGTGGCAGGATTCGTTTCAGCTACACCTCGCCAAAACTCATGTTAGGCGGGGCAAAAAACGAAGAGCGCATTATTACCCACGATTTGCCGCTCGGAGAGCTACTCCGGGCGGCTCCGAACGCCCGCGCTGTCCCATA